TCCTGTTCCCCCTGGAGTTTCTGTGAGAGGAAAGATAGTTGCATTCTCAACAGAAGAAACATGATAGGAAGTGCAAGAACAAAGGATGAGTTCAAATGGAGGTGTGGGTGCTGCCTGCCTGGGTTTGAATAAGCATAGTGTTTATGGGGCACCTATTGGTGCATAGTCAGAATACTGGAGGCTGGAGGCCTATCTTTTCATCCTAGAAGGTGAGAAGTATTAAATGAGCTAGTCAAGACTGTTGTCAGCAGCCCTAGTTGCCCACCTTTAGAAATAGGAGGGGGGAGGGGGAATAGAAAATATTTTTTTTTTCAAAGAGCCCTTGTACGTGGCTGGCTTGTTTGGAGCGCCTTCCCATACACCAAAAAGGTTGTGGGTTTGATTCCTGGTCAGGGCATGTACCTGGACTGCTGGTTCCATCCCCGGTCAGCTGGGAGCCAGCTGATGGGTGTTTCTCTCTCTCTTCCTCTCTAAAATCAATAAATGTCCTTGGGTAAGGATTAAAAATAAATAGAAGAGGTGGGGAAACTAATGTTCACTGAATATCTATGGTATCTGTACTGTTCATAGATCCTAGGATGGTTGGTGCTAAGCACACAGTAGGTGCTCAAGCATTTGTTGAATGAATCACTTAACCCAGACAAATACCTTGTGAAGTTGTTGTAATTACACATGGCTTTTAAAATTTTATTTATTGATTTCAGAGAGAGATGTCAGTTTGTCATTCCACTTACTTACATATCATTGGTTGCTTCATGTATGCGCTGTGGCTTGGGATAGAATCCACAAGCTTGGCTTATTGGAACAGTACTCCAACCAACTGAGGTACCTGGCCAGGGCTGATTATACATGCTTAATAGCCCACCATATCAAACCTTTAATTGACGGGCCAGTGCTGGATTTGCTGGCTTATATGGACAGAAGTCCCTGCCCCTGGTTCCTGATTGGTCAGAATAGAACTGATTGGCAGGAGCTGCACAGCTCCAATTGGAGGGGGAAAGCTTCCATCTTATTGACTGAAATAGGATTCTAGGAACTGCTTTATAGGGACATGCACTTTAGCCCAGAGGCAGGCAGTCCAACTCCACCTTCTCTGTAAAGTGTAGTATGTGTGAGAGGTCCCTGTGCAGAAAAGGCTGCTAAGCTCTGTTTGTTTGTTTTAATTTGAACCCAGTTAGCCACCAGGATCCCTTGTTAGTGACTTTTTTCCTCCTTAGGGTTCACATCCTGTATAATAAATAGGTAACATGCAGATTGACCATCACATCCTTGTACAAAGATGGCTGGCAGGGGAGGGCAGTTGTGGGGGACCAGGCCTGCAGGGGAGCAGTTAGACGTTGATTAGGCTGGCAGGGGAGTGGTTAGGGGGTGATCAGGCAGGCAGGTGAGCAGTTGGTAGCCAGCAGTCCTGGATTGAGAGAGATGTCTGACTGCCCCCGAGCGGTCTCAGATTGGAGAGGGTGCAGGCTGGGCTGAGGGACACCCGCTCCCTACCCCCAGTGCACAAATTTTGTGCACCAGGCCTCTAGTTTCTAACATAATTTTCATTGACCACATGAAATCCATTTGCCATCAGAAGGCCTGCTTTGAGTGGGGTGAAATCTGTGAAGGCAATAACTAGAGGCCTGGTGTATGAAATTTGTGCACAGGTAGGGTCCCTAGGCCTGGCCGGCAATCAGGGCCAATCGGGGGCTTCCTTCGTTTCACACTGCCCCCCGGTGGTCAGCGCATGTCATAACAAGTGATCGGACTCCCAGTCCCTCGGTCGAACTCCCAAGGGGACACTGCATATTAGCCTTTTACATAAATAGATAAATTGTATGAGTTTCCTAGGGCTATTGGAATCAATTGCCACAAAGTGGGAGACTTAAAACAACTGAAATTTATTCCCTCATGGTTTTGGAGGCTAAATGTACAAAGTCAGGGTGTTGGCAGGTTCGATTCCTGTTGGGAGCTCTGAGGGAGAATCTGCCCCTTGCCTTTGTCCGGCTTTCTATTGGTTCCTATTCCCTACCTTCTATAAGCCAGCAGCCTTGGTTCATAGCACATAACTCCCTCACCCAGCCTTTTTCCCTGTCTCTAGTCTCCCTTTCCTTTATAAGCGTTGGGCAGGGGACTCATGCTAATTACATTTGCAAAGTTCCTCTCCCTAATAAGTAAGGTCACACGCACTTGCTGGAGTTAGTGCTTAGACATATTTGCACCCTTGCCAGGTGGCTCAGTTGGTTAGTGTCGCCCCGATATGCTAAGGCTGCGTGTTTGATCCCTGGTCAGGGCTCATACAAGACGCAACTAAAGAATGCATAGGTAAGTGGAATACCAAATCAATGTTTCCTCTTAAAAAAATCAATTAAAAATAATAGGCATGTTTGGAAGGACATTCATTGGCCCACTACGTAAGTGGCTGGCTTTTCAGACTCTTTATATATTTGATTTCCTTTCACAGACTGATGCATTGTGGGAGGTCATGGTTCTTCCCAAGAAATTGTCTCTCTTCCTCCCTTGAACAGAGTTCTTAGCTTTTCCTTTCTTCACAGGTGCTTCAGTGAACTACCTGGGGACTGGCGATGACATGAATGGGGACCGGGCGACAGTAAAGAGGCCTCGTCAGGAGGAGACTCACATCTGCGAGAAATGCTGCGGAGAGTTCTTCAGCGTCTCTGAGTTCTTAGAACATAAGAAAAATTGCACTAAACACCCACCTGTCCTCATCATGAACGACAGCGAGGGGCCGATGCCTTCCGAAGACTTCTCCGGGGCTGGGCTGAGCCACCTGCCACGCAGTCCAAGCATTAAGGACAGTCACAGGGAGAGTGGCAGCAGCTCAGGGGACATGAAGGAGAAGCCAGGGGCGGAGTCTGTCCTGTACTTAAAGACTGAGCCCGCCCTGCCACCCACAGCCCAGGACTTAAGCTATTTACCCAAAGGCAAAGTGGCCAACACTAACGTCACTCTTCAAGCACTACGGGGCACCAAGGTGGCAGTGAATCAGCGGAGCGCGGACGCGCTGCCCGCCCCCCTGCCCGGTGCCAACAGCATCCCGTGGGTCCTGGAGCAGATCCTGTGTCTGCAGCAGCAGCAGCTACAGCAGCA